CAAAACTCCTCCACGACAACGCTCGTCCACATGTCGCGAAAATCACTTTGGAAAAATTGAGGAATTGGGCTGGGAAGTCCTGCCTCATCCGCCATACAGCCCAGACCTGGCACCATCCGATTACCATCTGTTCCGGTCGATGCAGCACTCCCTGGCCGAGAGAAAGTTCACAAACCGCGAAGAAGTCCAACTCTGGGTGTCCAACTACTTTGAGTCGCAGCCGGCCGAGTTCTTCGAAAGAGGAATCCATTCTTTGCATAAACGTTGGCAACAAGTCATTGATAGTAATGGAGATTATCTTTTGAATTAATCTTGTTTAATTTCGTTTTTATAATAAAAAATTTTTAAACTCGAAACGCGCATTCCTTTCCGAACAACCTAATATTTTGGAAGTCATTGAGAATGTTGGCCGTTTCTCATAACGGCCTCTGGTTGCCCAAAGACAAAATTTGTCCTTTTTGGACAGAAAACCTGAGTTTCTTCAAAAAAAATCTATATTTCACCATTCTTTTATCTCCTTTTTATACTTTTTCATAGATTGCTTCTTCACTTATTTTTTTCCAATTTTGCTCATATTTCTAGGCTCTTCCTGTTATTATCGGAGTACTCGATCCTTGGTAGTGCAGCTAATAAAGAAGCCATTCTCAATCTGAATCAACTTCTTTGCAAGGTGTGCTTTTCTTCAGAATTTCCAAAACTTCCCAGAAAAATCTCATTCATTCTTCTTTCCTCACGTATTTGTTATTTTAGTCGTTCACCCAGCTGATTATCGCCTCAAAGGCTTCATTTCTCACTGACAAACATATATCGTTGCTGTTAAATTACGTGGAAATAGACATATTGGACACGAGTCGCCAGGCCACAGCTTTCGCTCTAATAAAGGCATTTGTGCGAAAGAAAGTTCAGCACCCGCAGGTACACCCTCTGTTTCCTTCAGTTTCGTCTTCCTCATCTTGAGAGGAGTTTTTTAGCCCTCTTCGGCTTGGGGGGGGGGACATTTTGCATTCTGCACTCTACCCCTCTTGTTACTTCTTGTAGACTGACAGTTTTTACTTTGATGAAGCCTGTAAACTTTTGTGAGCTCTTGTCGGTCTGCAGGAATTAGCAGGTCTTCACAAAGTGGCCTGTTCAAACTTTGCCGACATGAGTACCATCTCGTGCCCCCACCAAGCCGAACTGCACCGTTGTTTTCAGTAGAAATGCTGTAATTCTTCTCGACTCTATTTAGATCCTAGACGTCATGAAAAAGCTAAGGGAACTTGCAATCACGTCGCCATTCCCACATATCCGAACGCAGTGCAGAGAGGTCAGTATGGTTTTTAGTAGAATCTGGAGACAGTTTTCCCCATTATTCCTGGAAATGTTAGATTCTGCAGTTTTCCTAATTACCAATTAAGGCATCTGACTTTTAGGTGCTTTGCGATTTCATTGGAAATCATCCGAGTTCCGATGATCCGCAGAGTCACATCGAGTGGTTCATCGCTCAACTTGACTACGAGCTTGAAGATGGTCGTCTGAGCGCTGTCGATATGCTGAACATCTTGTTCTCCAGGCTTGAACCAGTAAGGCGTTGATGATGTTCTTATTATTTCAACCATTGCCATTGCAGTCAGTTCACTTCCTCCGGTTGGAGAAAAACTCCGCACAATACAACCTTCTCTCAGATAGCCTCCCATTGTGCGACCCTCCCCCCCCCCTTTCCCACTTCTCCTACTACCTACCATATTTCCAAATTCTCCCAGTTCTCCCATCTTCCTACCTCTTTTCCGGAGTTCTGCACAAAAAATCCCTAGTTTTCTCCGATTTTCCCCAAAAACTGCTGTCGAAAGGGTGTTGGGCAAGTACGGCCTCTCTCCCTCTAGCGACCCAATACGACCCCCTCTCGCTGGAGATGATCGTCCTACGACGTGCTTTGATTGCAGTGCTCGAATAGATTCGTGAACTCATAATTTTGCATTGGTGAAGCCGTGTCAGGGGGTGTAGATCGGTGAAATCGAAGTTAAAGGTTTATCAAAAAGGTTTCTAGGGTTGTTGATGACGAAGGCCGTTGGAGTGCTAAACACTACATTATAAGTTTTGTAGGCTGTCTTGAACGGTTCGTGTCTGTTCATCGTTTCAAAAATGGGAACGTCGTTGTTCAACGAGGAGAGCGTAAAGTGTCGTCGATTTATACTGGCAGCGCTGAACAAATTATTGTCATCAGTCAGCGAATCAGCTCGTTCGGATGTGTTCTCCGCCTGTTGTGATTGGATAGAATTGCAAGGCGAAGAACAGGTGGTTACTAATTTCTTATTCATAACTCCGTTTTCAATTTCTTAGAGGTTTCTGAGCTGGAGTGCTGGTAAGACATCAGAGTATCACTTCATCAAAACCGATTTGAAGAGAAGTTGTACAATAGCTTTTGAGGACTCTCATCCCATAGTGCAAGGTGATGAGTCCACAGCTGCAGTAGCGCGCCAGCCTGCTCGAAAGTGCAGAGGGACGAGATGGAGGGCAGTTATAGTCGGGTGCCATTTTACGCCTCCACCCGCACTGTCCTCAAGGCAGCGCTCGCGGTAGTGAAAAAATCCTGCAGCGGCTTCCAGTCAGCGGTAGAGAACAACCAGAAGTGAGAGAGCGCAGAGAAGTGGCCCGTCCGACTGTGGTTAGGCTTATGACCGGCCGTGCGGCAGCACGAGAGGAGTCGGGGAGAAGCCCCTGAGCCTACGGGGGTATCACTACCCTCCAGCCCCGTTCATGTGCTCTTGAGCGGAGCAAGTGGTACACTGCTGTAGCTACACACCTACTGCACACGTGGCAGGAAGTCCTTCTAGAGTGCAGACGGTCGTCATTCAGAATTATGTCTTCCCCTCTCATCACTAATGAGTAGCAGTAATATTCAGTAATTTTACTGATGGGAAATCTTTTTCGAGTCGTGGAACGTATCTAGAAAAACGAAAAAAACGGTTAGTTTTATAGTGGCACATGGTGCAGCAGCCGTCCGCTATGGTTCAGTGAAGTACATCAGTCATCCTTTCTGGGACTTTTTGAATCCTGTAGCGTCCAGCTACCATTTTGAGAAACTGTGTGGAAGCGCAGAAGCAGAGCTCATCAAATTTTCGATTTCTGTTGTTACCCGTTTTGCCTTCTGCTCGCAGTTTTGGCCTTTTTACTGCCATGCCTTTTAACTTTTCGCCTTCAACCTCTTTCCAGTCATATTGCAGCATCGTGATGTGTGAAATGGTGGTGTTAATATGTCCCTCCTCCGGAAAAGGATCCTCGTATCCTCCCCCCACCTAGAAGAGGGTTTCGGTACGACCCCCCCCCTTCCCCCAACACCTATCCTACCAATTTCCCCCACACTTTCCAGTTTTTCACCCAGAGATTTTCCGTCGAGGGTTGAGGGGGGGGGCGCATATAGTCAATATGAAGCGGGAAAATTGAAAATTTCTTAGATTTCCCCCAGCTTCCACATTTTCCCCAGCTTAGATTGACACAGCTCCCAGCTTAGATTTCCACAGCTTCGACCACGTTTTCACGAATTTCCCGAAAATTGCAAAATTTTTCTACTTATACCCAAAAATTTTTCGTCGAGCAGGGGGGGGAGAGGGGGAGGTGGGGTCATGGTACACTGAAACAGGAAAAATCACGCGGAAAGTCAGCAACCGGGAAAAATTTTTTCGAATTTTTTCCAACGCAGCAAATTTCTCTCGAAGGCACATACGACCCCCCCCCCTTCCCTCCCCAATGGAAAAGCACGACCTTCTATGTGTTTTACACAACGATGCTGTACCCTGTTTCCACTGGTAGAGATTGCAACTGAGTTTCTGCGTGAAGAAAATGTCCCACGGAAATACGCGGCTTTTGAGTGCTGGGTGAGCAGGGACTATGGACTGTTCCCTGGCCTTCTATACTCTCTTTTACACTCTTCAGTGCCTCCATGTCACCCTGCGTTTCTTTCAAAGCTCATATGAGCCATACTTTTTAAATTTGCTTGAGTCTCCGCCTCATCTCCGACTGTCTTGTCAGAGGTTTACTTGATATGACTTTTGAGCATTTTTCCGTATTGTATTCTCTGGCATCCATTTTTATGCTTACAGGAAGGCGCCCGTTATATCGCCATTGAATTGTTTTCTCAAATTAGCAAAGTTGAAGCCGAAGGATTTGCCGCTCGATTCCCTGCAATCCTTCCGTCGTTACGAGTTATTCTGGCATCGGAGTCTCTTTTCTCGGATAACAGGTACAAATTCTTATTGTATTTCTTTGAATTACTCTATCTACAGTGCTCATTTAGTGAACGAACAATTTCTGCGTTTTGCTACGGTATCGCTTCGATGTTACAAAACATGGGCTCATCTGTCGGGGATGCCCTCACTTCAGAGGATTTCTGTACAATTTTTGGTAATCGTTTGGAAGTCAATTTTATGCTTTTGCTTCATATTTTCCTCCTTTGTTAACTTATTAAATGTCTTTGAAGCCATTGTGGGACCTCATTTTTCATAATTTTTCGATTTCCTGATGTGTTCGCCTGCAGATAAAGCGCGTGAACACAACATGAGGGGTCTGCACGGCTGCGCCAAACCCTTTGGCGCCAGTTGCGAGAGGAGGCAGTGAGAAGCACCATTCAGCATTTCCTGATGTGTTCGCTTTTAGTGGCCTTCAATGGAAAGTTAGCGCCTGCAATCATGTTTGCTGCAGATAAAGCGCGTGACAAACATGAGGGGTCTGGCACGGCGCCAAACCCTTTGCGCCAGTTGCTGAAGAGAGCAAGTGAGAAGACCATTCAGTTGTTTTTCACCGGTTGTTTTCGCATAACCGCTTCAACAACTGGTAGAGAATGGGCTTGACGTCGCGCCAAACCCATCCCTCTTGAAATGCCCCTTCGTCCGCAGCGAGCGAGACTGTGTTCCCGAACACGAAATCGGTTTTCAAGTCATCAAGCTTTTTTTCGGGTGACGTGACAATAGAGTGGTTCCCCCGTTCTTTCAGACTCACTGGGACCTTTGATGAAGTGTAACGGATCAGAAATGGTTCGCCTTTCCGCTGGATGCCTTGTAGGGCAGTGCCTCAGCAAGTACGACAGCGAGTTCTTCACCTCGCAACGGTCCGTTCTGTTGATACAATGGTGCTGCTGGCAGCTACGAGATAAACTCCTAAGTGAGCAAATCGCGCTTCAGGTACGGTACATGGTATTCTTGTCGTTCCTACGTACATTCTGTTTCAGTCCTGTTCGGTGTTTCGCTGTTTCGCCCAATAAAACTGTTGTATTTGATAGGCTTCGAAGATTCTGATGGCTATTTCTCGGCACTTGGATGGAGAACAGTTTTCGGCGTTGGTGGAAAAACTAGCAAGTATCTGCCGTTTCGAAATTGTTCGTCAGCCCAACGTCTCATTGAAGGTGATAGTCGCTGCAATTTGATACTTTCGTATGATTCCTTTGGTATTTTCTGCCTGCCACGATAGAACCACTGCGATAGAACCAGGCTGCCCTTTTCACAAGCATCTTTTCTAAACCTTCACTATTCACTATGATAGCTCATGGCTCTCAGAGCTCGTCCTGCCGTTGAAAAAAATTTTGCAAATTGTGAGCCGCCCTTCCAGAACTCCTCCTCTGGTACGACCCCCCCCCCTCCTTTTTCCCATCCACCACCCCACACAACCTTTCTAAATTTTCTCAACTTCCCATTTTTTCCGAAATTTTTCACAAAACTCCCACTTTTTGCCCAGGAAATTGCCGTCGGGCGGATGCGTTATAGGCGCACCTGACATATACACTGCTCCACATAATGATAGATCCACCCATAAATATTACAAAATCCCGTCTCACATGAGGTTTTCAAAAATGTGCTCACATAGAAAATGAGGTAATAATCAATACCACTTTGCATGCCAACACCGGGAACTGACTTGAAAGAACAAGGTTTTTTTGTTCATTTTTTTGAAATTGACACTCTGACAATTCCACAAAATGATAGTTCCACCAAACAAATCGAATATTCTGCCAACAAGTGCACAATAAAATGAGTAAATTTTGATCCAATAATCTACTGGAACTCTATTTCTCCAATTAAGTTGGAAAATACGGTTGCCCATGTTCGATTAGAGATTTTAATAGGCTGTCGGTCGACTGCCCCAATGATTAACCACCGAAGCCCTCACGCGACCTTGTGCGAAATTGTGCACACTCTCATGGATCATACGCACGATTGAAGCCCCGACTAATCCTGGATTGGGTTTTAGTCGGGCTACCTCGCTTGGCTAGCGCAAAAGAGCGGTCTGGTGACGACTGAACCACGCTCGAGTGCTCCGACTGTCATGAACTGGTGCATTATCCTGCATGAAAAGGGGACTTTCTTGCTGATATCTACGCCAGAAAGCAAGGAGACGTCGTCGCATGACTTTTAGGTAACGGAAGAAATCATTTCTTATTTCATACGGAGCGCAGTTTCAGACGTTCCATTCATGCTATGGCAGGCCAGACCACATCCACATGAAGTCTGCCCGCGAAAAATGAAGCTGTCTTCCTCTCACCACTGGTGACCACCGGAATCCGGTCTCGTCGCCGAGCCGTCGCCAGTGCAACTCTTTCCTCACTAGAAAACACGGACCGCGCAGGAACAAAAAACTGACAAAACAAACGCTAGACAAGCAGATTTTAGGGCCGCCAGCAAAAGCCCAACCTCACTTCATTGGGCTCGGCAACATCTTCAAGCAAAGCCAATTAGGTTTTCCCGATGGTTTTTCGTTAGAAACAGTACGTAACTCATAGTCCTCCTATGGGGAGTTTTTCAAGAGACGCCTGAGGTATTCTCCGAGACATTTGACCTCCGAAGATGTCTTGATTTCGCGACACGACACTGCAGAGTTGGAGGTTTTTCAAGGATACGGCGGTTATTCCGATCGGGCAGCAAGGGAGGATGTTTTTTTTTTTTTTTTTTTTTTTTTTTTTTTTTTTTTTTTGTTTTTTTTTTTTTTTTAATTGTCCAGAGCTCTTATCAGCTCAATATCCTGCGGGTCCCTTGGAAAAAATCGTTAATAGCATGATGAGTGCGGCCCGCATCCAGCGCCATTCGACGGTTCGACAGTTTTCGAGTCTTCTTTGCGATTATCTGTCCTTTTTTAAGAGCCGATAATAAATGTCCTCTTGCCATAGCCTAGAAAAGGCAAAGACACAATAATTAGACAGTTTTACCCAACAAAAAAAGATGCAGAAAAAAAGAAGAAAAAAAAACATGAGGTGGAACTATCATTTTGTGGAATTGTCAGAGTGTCAATTTTCAAAAAAATGAAAAAAAAAACCTTGTTCTTTCGAGTCAGTTCCCGGTGTTGGCATGCAAAGTGGTATTGATTATTACCTCATTTTCTATGTGAGCACATTTTTGAAAACCTCATGTGAGACGGGATTTTGTAATATTTATGGGTGGATCTATCATTATGTGGAGCGTAGGGGGAAGCGAGGAGCAACATCTGAAGACATTTCTCTCAGAAACAATTACAACCATCTCCGTCTCTCCAGCGACCAAATACGGCCTCCTCCTCCCCTGCCAGAGTTTTCCAGCATACGATGTGCCCTATAATTGTGCAACTTTTCATTGTTTTAGACTTAATGCTGGATATGATATTATCTTATAAAACTCATTTTTGGAACCAATAGACTTGACAGGACCTCTTCGCATCATTAGAAATTGGAGCTTCTTTCTATTCCATCTGATATAGCGTGCCTAAAGCAAGGCGAATAAAAAATGAAGAGGATCTCGCTAGGCCATATACAGGGAGGGGGCCATAAAAAAGACACTTCGGTAGAGTCTCATATCAGTAAAGTTTATGCAACCTAGAGAGAAGACGTGGATACGAGTACCAGGGCGGGAGACACCCAAGATGTTCCTCAATAATCAGGAGAAGGCTCACGTCCGTCATGTACACCAATAAATACAGTGCGTAACAAAAGTATGTGGACACCCCAAATTTTGATTTTGCGAAACTGCCTTCAGAATGCCGATCTGAGACCATCATCTGTTAAATTCCTCATAAGCGAAAGTATAGGAATGCACTACCTACGAGCACATTGTGAACTATTGAGCAATGATTTATTGTTTTGAAAAAATTTCTTAATAACAAAAGTATGTGGACACCTTAACAAAAAACAAAAGTATCATGGAATAAACTTTGTGCTCCCTTCCGCCAGTCACTATTGCTTCGACAATTATGTTTGTCTGGCATGCTGTGGACAACACTTGGATATGTCTCTCAGAGGTGAGATCCCATGCAGCCACTACCGCCTCCTTGAGGTCTCGCACGCTGTTGTACTGCCGATTGTTCATGTAAATTCGTCGAACCATAATTCCCCACAGGTTTTCGATTGGGTTGCAGTCAGGAGAACATACCGGCCAATCCATCACTTTGATACGCGAGTGGGGTGAGCGAGTGAGTGTGTGCTAGAATTTTGAAACATGCACGGCGGCGTTGTCCTGCTGCAGCACATGTGTCCTGGGTCGTGGCCCACTCAGAAAAAGCAAGAGGTAGGATTCGAGCACTCCTTGATATTCCTGACTGTTCATACGGCACGATGGGAAGGCGAGCTCTAACTTTCCGCTGGTTCCAAAACCACCCCACACCATCAAAGAGCCGCCTCCGAAATTTCGCCTCGAGAACAGCAATGGATCGCGACGAAGGTCTCTCCAGTAGTGCCGATATCCATCTGGACCATCGAGATCGGACTTTTTTCATCGGTGAAGATAACCTAAGAATGAAAAGCGCATGGGATGTTGCCTTTCTGATTTTACAAATTTCTCAAAAAGCTTCACCTTGTCCCACGACGTCGCCATGTTTGCACGCGCGAAGTTCACTCTCGCCAGCTGGTGTTGGGTAGTCAGGCGAGGAGCTTTCTTCATGGTCTCTCGTGTGATATGCTCATTTGATCGAACATAGCGCCATATCGTCATTTTTGAGACCGGTAGATTAATTGCAGCATGGATCTATCTCACAGAAAGGGGGAGTTTGAGGCGACCCGCGCTATTTTTCTGATGTCTTTTACGGACAAAGATCGAGGACGCCCCGAAATATGTGCTGAATGGTAGCCATCAGGATTCTGGAGGTATTTACCAACGCACGTCGCCGAACGTCCGAGCTGTCTTGCAATTTCTCTATTTGAGTGTCCAGCAGCACTGAGAGCTCGAATCTGAGATTGTTCGTCTTCGGAGAGAGTACTGCCACGACGAGGCATGAGTACAGATTAATGGGGAGCAGTATTTGCGAGTCAAAATCTCTGAACTTTCCAGGTGTTACATTGCTTTGTTATTAAGAAATTTTTTCAAAACAATAAATAATTGAACAGTGGTTCACAATGTATTCAGAAGTAGTGCATTCCTATACTTTCGCTTATGAGGAATCTAACAGTGATGGTCTCAGATCGCAAAATCCAAATGCAACTTCGCAAAATCAAAATTTGAGGTGTCCACATACTTTTGTTACGCACTGTATATGAAGCCACCTTCAGTCGTAATCGGACTGGAGGAGACCTACGGAATTCATTGTCACCTCTCAACAGCTGCCGAAATCGGGAAGAGTCACACATGGACAAGCTACGTGGGAGACGCGCACTTCTTGAACTGGAAGACCTCCAACCTCGAGCAGCTCTGACAACGTCGCTGCGGTCCAGAATATCATCTTCACCGCATGCGCCAAGGCGCGTGTTGATGGTATTGACCAAAAGCTCCTGAAATAGGGAGACCGGTATTTTCTTCGTGAACTCCGAACTGACCTGTACCTTCTTGAAAACTTCGTACTGCTACAGGACTGTGTGCAAATACATGGAATCGAAGGGCGTTGTAAAACTCTCGCCTTGGGATCGGAGGTTGTTGAGTACCTGAAGAAGGTGGAATACAGAAGTGTGCCTTCTGCCCTAAATCCCCTCGATTACCGGGTTCTGGCGGACCTCAACAGGATGGTCTACGGTGGCAAATCAATGATCTCGCTAAACTCAGGTACCGAATCACGGTCGCGTGGCAGAATCTCTCGGCGGCGTTCATCCAGAAGGTTGTGGCGGAGCATCGTCATAGCGTACAATTTGTTGTTGAATTTCATGGTGGGAACCTCCAATCAGTAGCTAATAAAGTGTAACTTATAGTGCCTTGAAAGTCGGAGAAGAAAAGCGTCTTTTTTCATTGGCCCCCTGTACACTAGGCCTCCCTCCTCCTCCCATGGCGGATTTCACAAACATATAATATACTCTGACTGTAAATTTTCAGCGTTCTACTTGCTTCAAAATGCTGCAGCGCTCATCATCAACGAGGAGGACGCTTCAAAAGTGGATGTCTTGGCCGATCATTTCCTTCCATTGCTGGTCCGTGAAATGAACAGAAAGTCGTCCAAAGGTAAAGCTATTATACAGACTTGGACAGCTGCATATTGAGAATCGTC